AGTATGCAGTGACCTTCTTTATCTCTTTTGATCTTTCTTGGTATGAAGTTTGCATTGTCTGAACACAGAATAGCTACCTCCACTTTTTCCTGGGTTTCGGTTGCATGGAGTATTGTTTTCCAACCTTTGACTTTTAGTCTGTGAACTTCTTTTTGAGTTAAAAATGTTTCTTGTATGTAGCATATTGTTGGATCTTACTTCTTGATCCATTCTGCCAGTCTTTTTTCTTTTCACTGGCCATTTACATTGTTGGTATCTTACTGTATCTGTTGAACATAGACACATCACAAGAAGAAACAGTACTTTTTTTTTCCCCTTAAAGTATGTCTTGTCGGTACAAGTTTCCAGTTTAACTTTTAAATAACAGATTGTTTGCCAGGTGACAATGACAAAACTTATATGCTATTTTCTCCCATCAATTTTTATTCAGTTTGGACTCTATAACCAAATGGAGAAAAAAACATTAGTTTTTATTCCCAGGGTAGTTAGTCACATACACTTTGTGAGACCGACATAGGAAGTTGTGTTTTCTACTATTTTTCTTTACTTCATAATTAGAGCGCTTGCCTGTCAATTAATTTTGGCTTCCATTATCAGTAGACCAAGGACAAGTTGTGTCACCTATCTGGTGATGTGACTATGAGGAGAGCAGAGCAACATGTATGGTTATAAACCAGTCTATTCCTGAGGAGTACATTTGCTGCTCATGCTTGGTGGAGCGAGGAGAAGAGGCAATCTCAATACAAAGCAAAGCTTTCCTCGCGGGTGAAGCAGGCAAGCCTTTGGCTGTATCAAAACATGGAACTTATGGGCTCTTTTTGGTAAACTGGTTACAAATCTTTGTGCTGCCAGAGCCTGGATTTTGCAGTAAACTCCATTTAGGCTAAGGAATCCTGGGCCCACCAAGAATCCTAAGCAGTCAATTAAAATTCTGGAAATGCCCAAGACTATTGCTTTCATCATTATTTGATGAGAGAAACAACGTGTTGGTAGGTAATCTCCCATCTGTGGGCTAAGAATTGTAACCCTGGAAAGTAGGGTGCCTAGTACTCATAGATACTGAGAAGAGAAGGGACCCTCCCCCCCAGCCTGACAAAGGACATAAGCCAGTTGCCAATTTACTGCCTTTTTAGCTTCAAATTCACCCTTCAGTGTATGGTCTCAATAAAGAAGAGATTCTTTAAACATTTCGCCTTCAAAGTAGCATCAAAGAGCAGGGTATTGCACTTTCTTAGCAGCGAGTATTTGAGGAACACTGAAGTAGGAAGAAACTGTCCTACAATTCCTCAGAATTATGTGTGTAACTATTCTGTCTGTGCTCTGCCACGTGCATGTGTCAATAATAACTGTCCCTTACAAACACGTACGTACTCCAGGCTTGGCCTGACGATCAGCTTCCTGGGGTCCTCTTGTTTAGGAATATCCTGTGTTTGAAGTCACCTCCCCACTGTTTTTCTCTGTGTACTCGTTCCCTCAACACACACACGCACACGCACACGCACACGCACACGCACAGGCACACGCGCACACACACACACACACAAACACATACACACACACTAATTTTACATCGTCCTCCCTACTCTGCAATCCTCCTGACACCAAGGCCCCCTGATCCTATGTGTAGGGCACTGTTCCCTCCAGGCCTCCAGCTAAACCAGGAACTGTCCCGCTCCACCCTTACTGTTTGTCCACATACTGGTTATTGGCTATGGTCTGTCCATACTACCATGCTCTGGAGAGTTGCTTCCTATTTGCTCTGTGACTATGGATCACCACACTTTCTGTGAAACACCTCTGGCACCGGAAAATCAATGGAATTTCTCCATCATCCAGTAGATTCTTTTCCAGTGTTGCTTGAAATCCAGCCTTAAGGAGGGGCCCCCATTCTAAATTTGTCTTTGCTTCAGTACTCTCCCACACCTCTCGAAACCCCATATAGGTTTTCTTATACCCTATATGAAATTTTTAGTTTTACAAGGCTTTGTGTCAGTCTTTCTCCATCTTAGATCACTGCGCACTTTTTGTCTCTTGTTTGGACATCATTTGTAACAGAAAATTACTGAAAACTTTTCCATTCAGAGCTGCATTAAGTAAGGATGTCCATTATCACCACTTCTATTCGACAGTCTTGTGCGAGCGGAGGAGATGACCCCAGAGAAAACAGTAAGACAAGAAAAAAGAATAAAATGTTAGGAAAGGAGAAAGAAAGACTGGTGTTATTTGCAGATGATGTGAATGTGTACATAAATCCTGCAAGTATTTTCAGATGAATTATTGGAATCAGTGAGAGTTTACAAGTTTGTAGGCTAAAATATTGTCATATCATATAAAAGTGAATTGCAGTCTGTTTACAAGCAACATATACAGAAAATCAAAATTTCAGATATAGTATTTGCAAAACGTGACATACCACCAGGAATCGTGCCCCTTGCCTGTAATCCCAGCACTCAGTAGGCTGAAGCAGGAGGATTGCTGTGAGCTCAAGACCAGCCTGGGCTACAAGGTGAGTCCAAGTTCAGCCTGAACTGCAAGGAGAAACCGTGTCTCAGAAAGAAAAACAAGCAAGCAAGCAAACAAACAAACAAACAAAGCAACATACCTAGGGTAAGAGGCTCTCTCGTAGGAAAATATAAAGTATTACTGGAGCACATTAAAGGAGATCTTATTAAAAGGACAGACAGGCCATAGACATGGGTCACACATTCAATACTGATGAAGAGCCAAATATAAAATGTCAACAGAATCCCACATAGGACTCTAAATGTGCTTTTGGTTGAAGATTTTATAATAAACTGAAACTAAAATGGAAATGATGTGCACCAGGAAATAGTCAAGAAACTTTTGAGGAGCAAGGTGGAATTGACCTGCCTTCTCCACATACCAGATTTGACTGCAGCTCTGTAGTAATTGAGGCACTGTTGTATTTCGAATAGATAAATGGGGATATAGTACTTAAAAGAGAGTATAAAAATTAGCCCACACATATGTAGATACTTGATTTATGGTGCACTTGTCACTATCACCCAACTGGAAAAGGCAAGTCATTTCAATCAGTGGTTCACTGAGAATTCAGAATTTCCACTCGAAAGGAACCCTACTCAACACTCAACACAAAAATCAGGACAATGACTACACCCAAACTGAGGGGTATGGGGTGTGATCGGTAGGGATACAATGACTGTATTCAGGAAAGTTGGCCGTGGTTTACTTCTTGACTTTGTTTCTGGTTATATGGCTGTTTGTTTTTGTAAATTATGCTATCTAAATCCTATATTTATATAATTCAGATTTGAAAAGATGCTTCCTCCAAGAAATGCAATAGAAATAAAAGTGTGTAGACATTTGATCTGATTTATTTTTGCTTTGAAAGGGTCTTGCTATTTGATTCAGCCCGGCCCTGAACTCAGCTGCCTCAAACTCCTGCCCTGGCCTCCTGAGTTCTGGCTAGGATCACAGGCAAGAGCTGCTTTGCCTGGATAAGGTTTGAATTGTTATGGATGAACAGCTTGGGTCTTGGTTTTTCCAGTCCACTATCACTAAAGGAAGTGTGGGAGTGGGGATCTTGGATTACTTAAGTGGTAAGTATCCCATAAATTAGTCACCACCTCAAAATAAATCTATTTTCATACATTTCACCCTATACTTATGTCAATAATTGTCAACTCACGGATGACAAAGAAGCTGGAATATCGTCACCATTAATAAGATCAGCAGACATTACAGGTGGAGTGGTTTATGATGGGTTCCACCTGTGTGAAGCACTGCCAGGCTCAGCGTGGCACCTGCCCAACATGGCGCTGGACAGCACCTCCCTGCAACACTGACTTCTACTTTCTTCTTCCAAACTCCAAAAGTGAACTCTCTGCTTTTCCAGAGCATGCCAACATTCTCCCAGTCAAGTGCCAACATGCCATTGTGCCCGCCCTTTGAAACTCCACCCCCATCAAACAGAATAAAAGCTGGATGCTTGTTTGCCTGCCCTGAGAGGATCTTGCACGCTACTGCAGCTCTCCTGTGTCCCCAAATAAAGGCCTTTTCCTTTTCTCCTTTCTTTGATCTTGCTTTTCTACCTTGTGTATGTGTGTGTGGAGTGGGGGGGGGGATGGAAGTACCTATCAGTTTAAGACTAAGACTTAAGTGAGATCAGGTATACCAGGGAGTACGCCGTGTATTTTACTGGAGAGGGTCCTTTGCAGTCTTGCTGGACAATCTAGAAGAATGTCTTCACCGTGTTGCAGGATTGGGCATGAAATTTATCATGGTATGCCAAGTGATGGGAGGGCAGAGTTGGTTTAGGTTGAGCACTGCATTGTGAGGATTCAGGAGCACGTAAGGTTTTCCAGAATTCAGTGTAAATTGTTTCATCCTCCAGGCTTGATACTTCTAGGCTGAACAGTGCTAATGTGTTCTGGCCCCATCTCTTATTCTAATTGCATTAGGAAGACCAAAAACTTAATTGTGCAGAAATTTTCCCCCAGGACCTTGTTCAAGATAATACTGAAAGGGACGGGGATTTAGCTCAGTGGCATAATAATCATCTGCCTGGCAAGCACGAGGTCTTGAGTTCGATTCCCTGTACGAAATAATAATGGTAATGACAATAATTCTAAGCATAAAAGTTGTTGGAGGTGCAATTTCCACATTCTACTGGTATGTAATGGTAACATATAAGACGGTACGTGCCCTCTGAAATTTCTCTCATCGATCAGTCCAGCCAGCCAGTCAAACAGTAAACAATGGTAACACACAAACAGCACTAAGCAACATAGGATATGTTTATTTTGGTACCCTTACCAAATGGGCTGTCATTACCCCATTCCCAAGGAAGACCTCCTTAATTATAAACTGTGGACTAATTTATGTACACCAGGCTTTGCCTCTGGGCTTTTTCGTTTGTTCCGGAGAACCGGCACCAGAATATTTAAATCACTGTGGCGTTAAATACGTTTTAAAATCTGATAGGGCCAGTTTCTGCGCATTGCACTTTTTTTTTTTTTTTCCCCTCCCTTTCAGGAAACAGTTCGGGCCCGCGGCAGGGGGCGGGGTCGCGCCTCCGCCTCGGCTCTAGTTCCAGCCAAGCCTCGGCGGAACAGAGATGGAAATCCCAAGGCTGCTCCCGGCTCGCGGAACACCACAGGGCAGCGGGGGCCGTTGCCCCGCGAGGGGCGGTGGGGTCCACCGAGGCCTTGACCCGCCAGCTAGTCAGGCCCCGGCGCGCCGCTTCCTTCTGCTCCAGGGGGCCCAAGATGGCGGGCTCGGGCCGCGGCGCGAGGAGGCCAGTAGGGCCTCACGGGACCCGGGCCCAAGCCCGTTGGCGCCGAGGTCGGATCACACTGGCTGCAGCGGCGGCGGAGGCGGCGGCGGAGGCGGCGGCGGAGGCGGCGGGAGCGGCGGCGGCGACTTCTTCCTAGTACTGCTTGACCCGGTGGGTGGCGACGTGGAGACCGGGGTCACTGTTCGCGACGAAGGGCTCGTGTGGAGGGAGGAGACCGAGGCAGGCCTGGGACCCCAGGGGAAAGAGAGCAGCCTGAAGCCCGCGAGCCGCCCGGCGCTGAGCCCCCACTGCCTATCCGCGGTCCCAGGCCCAGCCCCAGGCCCCGCCCCAGGCCCGGGCCCAGGCCCCGGCCCAGGCCCCACAGCGGCCTTCTCTGGCACGGTCACTGTCCACAACCAGGATCTGCTGGTGCGCTTTGAGAACGGCGTCCTCACCCTTACCACGCCTCCGCTGCCAGTCTGGGAGCCAGGGGTCGCGCCTTTCCAGCAGGCTGGGGGTCTAATCGCCCCGCCAGCCGGATTCCTGCCCGCGGCGCAGCTAGGTGACTGCCCAGAGCTGCCACCGGACCTGCTGCTGGCCGAGCCGGCAGAACCCGCGCCAGCCCCTGCGCAGGAGGAGGAGGCTGAGGGCCAGGCCTCGGCCCAGAGCCCCCGCGGGCCGCAGTGTCCAGGCCCAGGCATGGTGTTGTACCTGTGCCCTGAGGCGCAGTGCGGACATACCTTCGCTAAGAAGCACCAGCTGAAGGTGCACCTGCTGACTCACAGCAGCAGTCAGGGCCAGCGGCCCTTCAAGTGCCCCCTGGGAGGCTGCGGCTGGACCTTCACTACGTCTTACAAGCTCAAGAGACACCTACAGTCTCACGACAAATTGCGGCCATTCAGCTGCCCAGTGGAAGGCTGTGGCAAGAGCTTCACCACTGTGTACAACCTCAAGGCGCATATGAAGGGTCACGAGCAGGAGAACTCCTTCAAATGCGAGGTGTGTGAGGAGAGCTTCCCCACGCAGGCCAAGCTCAGCGCCCACCAGCGCAGCCACTTTGAGCCAGAGAGACCCTACCAGTGTGCATTTTCAGGCTGCAAGAAGACGTTTATCACAGTGAGTGCCCTGTTTTCCCATAACCGCGCCCATTTCAGGGAACAGGAACTCTTTGCCTGCTCTTTCCCTGGCTGCAGCAAGCAGTATGACAAGGCCTGTAGGCTAAAAATTCACCTGCGGAGCCACACGGGCGAGAGACCTTTCTTGTGTGACTTTGATGGCTGTGGCTGGAACTTCACCAGTATGTCTAAACTCTTAAGGCACAAAAGGAAGCACGAGGATGACCGGAGGTTCACATGCCCTGTAGAAGGCTGTGGGAAATCTTTCACCAGGGCTGAACATCTGAAAGGCCACAGCATAACCCACCTGGGCACAAAACCTTTTGTGTGTCCTGTGGAAGGCTGCTGTGCCAGGTTCTCTGCTAGAAGTAGTCTCTACATTCACTCCAAGAAACATCTGCAAGATGTGGACACTTGGAAAAGCCGTTGCCCTGTCTCCACCTGTAATAAACTCTTCACATCCAAGCACAGCATGAAGACACACATGGCCAAAAGGCACAACCTGGGCCACGGTCTTTTAGCTCAACTAGAAGCTGCAAATTCACTTACACCCAGCAGTGAACTTACCAGCCAGGGGCAGAACGATCTCAGTGAGGCAGAGATCGTGTCTCTCCTCTCTGATGTGGCTGGCAATGGTTCTGCTGCAGTGCTGGACACAGCATTGGTGAATTCTGGCATCCTGACTATTGATGTGGCCTCTGTGAGCTCAACTCTGGCAGGGAATCTCCCAGCCAGTAATAGTAACTCCTTAGGGCAGGCTGTAGACCCTCGGGCCTTGATGGCTACCAGTGACCTTCCTCAGAGTCTGGATACCTCTCTCTTTTTTGGAACAACAGCCACTGGCCCTCAGCAGGGTCCCTTAGATACGGATAATGTCTCCAGTGTAAGTGTGGGACCACTGCGGTCTCTAGGCTCTTTGGCTATGAAAAACTGCAGTCCAGAGCCCCAACCCCAGACTTTGACACCCAGCAATAAGTTAGCAGTGGACGCAGAAGCTCTGACTCCTTCAAGTACCCTTTGTGAAAACAGTGTCTCGGAACTACTGACACCAACCAAAGTGGATTGGAACGTACCTTCTGACTCTGACTTCTTTGGACGGGAGGAAGAAACCCAGTTTGGTTTCTCTAATCTGGCAAGAAACCATGGTTCTCAGAAAGAAACGGATCTTATCACAGTGACTAGCAGCTCATTTCTGGTATGAGCCAACACTGTTTGCTCCTTGCCATGTGGCTTACTTTTATTACACTCAATTTTGTGGGTACTTGGGACTGAATGTTTGAACGCAGTCATTTCCTACTGGTTTGCTAAAGAACGCATCCCTGGACTACAAGTTTGCAGACTGAAATTATGATTTTAAGTCTGGAAATGACATGTTCTATAGACCCTAAATAAGTCACTTAACCTGTCTGAGCCTTAATTTCTGTATGTATAAATAGAAGATTGAATAGATTGTTTCTAAATCTCTGTGTGTTTTTCAGCTAATATTTTTTTCTTGAAAAATATTGGGTTATCTTTCACTGATTATATTACATGTCTTTCAATATTATTGAATTAATGTCATGTTATAATGAATATGTTTTGTGCACCTTACTTCAATAATTATTATTATACAATTTTTTACCTCCATTCTTTAATGTTCTTTTGCACCAATTACATATATATGATATATATATATATTTATATGTAACACATAGACTTCTTTAGAAGAAAATTATAATTCCATTTATCATCCTTAACTTTATTCCTTTGTAGTATTAAATTTCTAGTCATGTTATAAACTTTTTTTGTCACAGGAATCCTATTAGTTTTAATATTTACTCTTTTAGTGTTACATGTTTTTTCTTTTTTATTTGTACCGGGGATCGAACTCAGGACTGCCTGCTTGCAAGGCAGGTGCTTATGCTGCTGAGCTAAATCCCTAGCTCCATCACATGTTTTTTCATCTGTCAGTTCATCTTTCATCTTTTTCCTTGCATTTTGTTCATTGAGAAGGGTAGTTCATTCTGTATGAATGATTCACCACAGCAGAGTTTTGCTAAATATGTCTTTGCACTGATGTTCACATTTTTCTATTTAGTTCTGTAAACTTGATTAGATTGCAAAATTGTGTTGCTCATACTCTGTATATCAATTATGTTGTGTTCTTTCATTAAGCAGCTGTTAATGTCTGTTTTTCTCTTGTTGTATTAAAAGCAAATTTGGGTCAACCTACTCCTTCTTAATTATATTTGCTTCCAATATTATGGATTGTAGAATTGTTAAAAATTATGGAAGGAGGAAATGGTGTTTAAGACATTTTGATAGATTAATGGAAACACTGTTCAATGCTAAAATATTTTCTCTAATGGTGATAAAACAAGAAATCTTTGTAAAAATTATGTTTGCTGTTACCACTATTTATCTTCTTAACCTCTTTTGATGATATAAATCCCTTTTTACCAATTGGCATCCCTGTCTTTGAGGAGAAACAAAACCCAGGTTTCAATTTGTGTTTTGTGGTTTTGAGAAAAGTGGTATTAAATAATTTATTCTTACTGAGCCACAATTTCCCATCTGTTAACAGAGCATAGCAATTTATGTACATATCTTATATACTGGCTTAGACTTTCTCTGCTCTAATTTTCTGTATATAAGTAAAAAAATTCAAGTATTGGTGTATTTTGATGATTTATAATTTTACTCTCTTGGTCCTTCCTACTTTAAGAGAGAAATTGGGATAACTTAACCCTATTTATGTACCAGAAATAAAGATTCATGAGAGTTAGGCTGAAACAGGAAACTAATTTCCTCTTTTTTTTTTTTCTGGGAATGCAACTCACAATTTTGCACATACCATTCAGGGCCTTGTGCTGCTGAGCTAAATCCCCAGCCATGGAAACTATTTTACTGAAAGAATAATGAGTAATTATTACTGAATAATTTTCACCCCAGAATTTGTTGTAAATTCCAGGAGTGGGTACATTGCCCACATTTTTATCTGCATACTTACCATTTAATCCATTTGACAACATCTTTGTTCTCTTTTGATGTCAGGCTTCTCTTTTTAAAAGTTTTTATTGATATGTTTGTGATGCATAGTAATTACATTAATTTTGGGGAATAGGTTCATACACATATGGAATGTAGATAATTTTACAGTGCCCCCCTTCATCCTTCCTCAGATCACCTTCTCATTTCCACAGTGTCTTACTTCCCAGTTTCTTATCATCTTTGTTTGGTTTTACTATTTAATTATATTTTGGGTTTCTCTTACCAGTGAAACTAGTATTTAACCTGCTGTGACTGGTTTATTGCACTTAACATTATGATCTGAAGGCCAACCATTTTCCTACAAAAAGGCTTCTCCTTGACTGTGGAACTTGTGGTTCCATGAAAATCTGACAATGGAGTAGAGAAAATTTTTTCTGTCTGTGGTTTGGAGAGCTTATTTAAAGATTTCCAGCACTGAAAGAAATAATGAATCTGAGTATCACGTAAAGTTCCTACTACTTGAGTATAGCATTTTGAGTTTGTTGAACATCTTTACAATGTGTTCCCTGTTTGTTATTTAGAGCAAACCCTAAGAAATAACTTTTGCAATAGTATTTTTCATAGTTTAATGTGGTCAGCTCACATTCTAACTGGGTTTTGACTATGACAGTTCTATATACGAGTTCAGAAGGTAAAAGAACTACTTTTACCTTCCGCATCCACTCATATAACTTTCATGATTCATTCTTGTATCATTACTCATTGCTCTTTTTTATTTTAGTTTCTGCTACCTTCTACTTACTTTATCCCCTCTGCACTGCTTTGCATGTGCGTCCATTTCTTGCCATATTTTTCCATTTTTAAAAAAAATTTGCTTTTTGTTTAATGGATAGATCTCTGTCCTGCATTATCTCTGACATTCTTTTCATAGTACATTTTCTTCTAATACTGACATTTGTTGTGTATATATTACAGTTGTGTGTGTGCAGTTAGGAGTTATTTTCTTAGGTTAGGTAATACTATATTTATGATCATAAAGGAGACTATTTTCTATATTGTTCAGATGAAAATTACATTTCTATTTCCATTTCTAAAAAGGTTTGCTAAGGAGTTTTGCTAATTTTTCATTTGCTTTGCTATACTAGTGCAATAGTGCTTGCCTGTAGATGTCTGTGAATGACAGTTATAGCACTTTGGAAGTTAACTAAAATTTTACCACTATAAAATGTTTCTGCATTATGTAATTCTTAATATGCACACATGCTTCCATATACATTCATATGTATTTTAAAAGTGGTATTCATTTAGTGAAAAACAACTAGGCATTCTTTTTTAAGTCAGACAAATGCTTGAAACTTCGTTGTCCGTTTAATAGTTTGCTTTCTTTGTTTTGGGCATATTTGTAGTAAGATATATTTCAAAAATGTTATTCTTTAAAGCCTCTTAAATCAACCACTTTTCATGTCTGGCAAATAAATATGTCAAGGATTGAGATAAATATACAAGTCCTAAAAACTAAATAAATTTATAAACATTAACTAATGCTATGACTTCATTTCCTTAATTACTTAAAGCAACATCCTCCTAATTAATGAAATCTCTGTATTTCCTACTTGTTCTTGGAATTTTCAAAGGACTAATGCTACTTTTTCCAAAATTAACAGATTTTGTTTGTCCACAGACTCATAAAGTTCCATTAAACTAAATTATTCAAATTTACTTTTCAATAGCTTTTTCTAGCAAAACGTTAGATAATAGCTGTTATTCAAGGTAAGAAGTTTAACTTCTGTTGTTGATATTCATTACTTCTTTTAAATAATTATCGGGTTTAAACTTTATCCTCTTTTTTTCCTGAGTTTCAAGTACTGGTTAATTAAAAATCCTTACTAATTGAAAAAAAAAAAAACAGTTAATATGATGGCTTTAAAAATCTGTATCTAGAAGCTCTATTGATTAAGAATATTATTATTTTTGTAGAATTAAACTTCTCTTTAGCCATGAAAAATTAGGCATCCAAATTGTGAGGTACAGTGAATGTAAAATTAAAATAAGATTAAAATTATAGTACAGAACACGTATCTCTTTAGTATTTAGTATTGATGACACGTTAAATACTATTTTAGTAGGTTTGATTAAGGAAAATATTTTAAAAATTACTTTTATCAGGATTTTTCTTATTTAATATTGCTAGAAAATTTTAAATTCAACAAATGACATCACAATTTGAAATTTTTATTGGTGTGTATTTTTGACACATGTTTGCATTTATCTTGAGGAACTGGTCCAAATATATATCACATCTTAATCATCTTTGCTTCCCCTTTCCCAACCTCAGATTCCCTTACTATTTCCATAAAGCTTACTTCCCTTTTTCATCTCTTTTGTTTTGTTATTTAACTTATATTTTGAGTTTCTCATATAAAAGAAACCATGCGATATTTAACCTTGTGTGTATGATGTATTTTACTTGGTCTCAAAATATTCCCATTTTCCACTAACCATTCAAATTTACCTTCTTTATGGCTGACATTGCATGTGTATATCATGTGCTCTTAAATTCATTTATCAGTTAATGGCCCTGTAGGTCACTTTCAAGATGTCACTATTGTGAGTTGTGCTGCTATAAATATGGGTATACATTTATCACTATAATGTGATTTTTAACTCCTGTAGAAAGATACCCAGAAGAAGTATAGCTGTGTCAAATGAAATTAATCTTTTAATCTTTTGAAGAATTTCCTAACTGATTTGCATAGTGATTTTAGTAGTTTACATTTCAATCAGCAATGTAAAAGAGTTCTTTTTCTCCCAAAGCCTCACCAGCATTTTCTATTTTGAGTTCTTGATGAGAATCATTGTTTCTGGAGTAAGACAAAATCTGCCTTCTTCTGAGTTGAATTTCTCTAATGACCAAAAATAACCAAACATTTTTCACATATCCATTGGACATTTGTGCTGGTTATTTTGAGAAGTGTCTATATAATTTAATTGTTCGTTTTTATTGGATCATTTATTTTTCAAAGTATTTTTTGAGGTTTTGTATATTCTAGATACAAAATTTATGTATCATTCTAGATATTAGTCCTCTGTCCAAAATATAGTTGGCAAAGTTTTTTCCCATTCTGTTCATTGTCTTTTCATTCTGTTGATTGTTTCCTTTGTGAGAGACAGGGTCTCACTATGCAGTTCAGGCTGTCTTTGAGCTCACTTTGTAGCCCAGGCTGGTCTCAAACTCGCAAAGATCCTCCTACTTCAGCCTCCTGAGTGTTGGGATTACAGGCCTGGAATACCACGCCCAGCTCGTTCGTTTTTGATATTACCACTTTTTCATCTATGGCCATACCACCCTGAACGCACCCAATCTCATCTGATATTACTGCTTTTTCAATTGAGGTTCAGTTCAGAGAGTTCTTGTCAATACCTATGTCAAGAGTTTTACTCATTTTATCTTCTAGCAGGTTTGGTGTTTCTGTTTTCATATTTAGGTCTTTGACTCATTTTGATTTGATTTTAGTAGAGTGAAAGATATGGCTCTAGATTTATCCTTCTGGGTGTAAATTACCAGTTTCCCCAGCACCATCTATTAAAGAGTCTTTTGTCCACCATTTGTTTTTGATCTTTTTGTCAAGGATGAGATGACTGAAAGTGCCTGAATTTGTTTCTCCATCTCCATCCTCAATTCTACATCCACGTGTCTGTTTTTGTGCCAGTCCAATGCTGTTATTTTTGTCACTGTAGATTTCTAATTAATTTTGGCACCTCAGATTGTGATACCTCTTGTTTTGCTTTTGTTGTTCATGATTGCTTTTGTAATTCTCAGTCTGTTCTGGAACCATATGAATTTTAAGGTTATTTATTCTGGCTCTCTAAAGAACACTGCTGGTATTTTGATTGGTAAAAAATTAAATTTGTGTATCATTTTTTATTATATGACTATTTTTAGAATACTGATTCTTCCTACGCAGGAACAGGAGGTATCTTTTCACTTTCTAATTTCTTCAAGACCTTAAAAAATTGCTAATTTGCCTGTTCCAGGAATCTTCTGGTGGTGTTTTCCAGGCTTCTTATGTAAACACTCAAATTTTTAAAAAGCAAAATAACTTTATGCTCATAGTCTCTTTACATTCCTATTAGGCAGCACCAATCTAATTGTTACATTCCCTCTTTAGACTTTTCTGCATCAAAAGGAGTTATGCCATCTCTTTCTGCCGATGTTCTTTTTTTGCTGTGCTCTTAAGATT